CAACCTAATTTAGTTTCTTACCACTTTATTTCTGTAGGTTTCTGCATGCATGGAGCCAAACCAGTATACCCTGGAGAGTCAGTAGCCCTTCAGGATTGCCAATACAAATGCAAATGTGTGGTCAATGAAGGTTATTCATTCTTCATGTGTGAACCTCTTTGCGAGAGGTACTATGACCAGATCACGTGTTCTGATGGACAGGAAGCTGTCATGGAACTTGAGGAGACATCAGTTCCTGAATGTAAATGCCCTAAATACGAATGTCCACCGGAGAGATTTTCCGTGTCTCACTTTATAGAGTAAGTTCTACACCCAGTCGGTATGTTAGGGCAATTTTCAATATTAATGTCGAAAGCAATCTGGGATTGTTTTGTTTTCGCTTTACTTCGCTATGTGATTGGTCCAGAAAACTCGTGCCACTTTCTCAACACATCAGTTTAAAAAGTAAAGCCAATCACGAATTGATTGTCCGCTTTTTCCCGCGCTTTAGGTTGTTTGGCGCGTTTTGCTTTGAGTTCTAATGGGCTTTTTAAAGGTTATTTCTATTCCTATGGTTGGCTGTTGAAATAACTTCGGTTGTGATTTTACGACACCCAATCGAAAAACACTCCATTTGCTTGATGTTTGACTCTGTTAGATTCATTAAATCTGCATCCTATGTGCGTCCACTTAAAGTGTGCCTTGTTTTAAAGAGAAACATTTTTCTGGCTTTCTTTATTTCAGTTACGGAATTGACGGGGATGGGTTTTTTGAACCAGAATTCTATGAGGAAGGTGAAAGTCCTTACTATGAATGAACAGGTGTCAATTCTTGAAAAAGCATCACTAATCCAGCATTTAAGGTGAGCGAGAAAAATAAATTCTTACAAGTACAACTGAGTGGTTTCCTAATAAAATATATAGTTTTCAACTGAGTGTCAAAAGTTATCCGGGGCATTGGTTTTTCATTACTTTACTCTGTAATTGGCCCAGAAAACTCGCGCCACTCCCTCGACCAATCAGATGCAAAGCTTAAACCAAGCATGAAGTAGCCGCCCTCATTTTCCCGCGCCTTAAAAAGTTTGTTACGACAGTAAAGACTAGTGAGTTGAGTTAATATTTTTTCTGTCTTGTTGCAGTTCTTCCGAGTGCGTAGATATCTGTACATTACCTTTGGGACAGTTAAAATGGACATTGCCCAGCCAATCAAGTAAACATAAAGCTCAATGTCATGTCTTAGACAAAGCCGTCCTGATTGATGGCTTTTTCAATTAATTTCCCTTTGTCGTCAATGTTGTTGTTCGTGATATTTTAAAATACTATAAATAGAGAATAAAGTCTAATCTCTGCCGTGGACCGCAACGAGTCATTCTGTTTTATTTATTTCAGTCGACATACAATTTCTATGTTTCATACTCTTGATCTTAGGATTGCATATTTTTTTAACAGAAGGCAACAAAAGCTTTCTTTGAACAAAGTGTGTGTTCCATCGAGAACAAAAATGAGTAGAGGAAGTCAAAATTAGTAATTTTGGCTGTTTTACTACTGTTTTCAAAACTTGATATTCACTAGTTATCTGTTTTTCATGAGAATCGCCTGGTTAAGGGGAAATGAACCGGATGACGTTTGTTAAACTCATCATTCAAAGTAATAAATCCAATGAAGACAGGCCCGAAGACCAAAATCGGATGAACATGTAATAGTTTAAAAGAAAAGCATGGACAAACCAGATTATCTAAAACAACAGAATTTATTTTTTTTCGAAGATTAATAAAAAAAGTCGCTAATAAATATATTTCATGTCAATAATTTGGAGAGCAAGTGATACTCAAAAAGCTATTACACACTAATTGTATGATCGCCACGTGAGGTCATTGAGAATGACAAATGTTTGAATTTGCTCTGCTAGCTACAACGGGGGCGAGAAGTTTTAATAAAAACTGATATCAGTTTCCAGCTGGTTTCCTTCCTTATCGTGGCTTGAGTTAGGAAGCAATTGCTGCGATATTTATGAGTTTTTCCGGACCTGATCACGAAATGTGACAATTTTTAGGTTCTTGAATTGGTAACAGCAGATTACAAAAATCTCTTTTGTCAGCGATTCCCAACTAAAACTTCTAATTGGCTTTTTTAACCTGCATATTAGAGTTTCTACCAGTTATTTACATTAACATTCTAGAATAAAGACTGAATGATCAGACTATCGACGGAGAGAGAAAAAATGACACTCTAAATGCGTAAAAATGTTAATTTTTGTATTTGAGACAAGCAAATTGCAACATAAAGGATGTTTCCGTCAAAATAATGAAAGTGCTCTCTCGCACAAGAAAAGAACTCGCCAGCAGAGAACATCTACGGGAGACTATAAAATTGGTAAACTTTTATTGCGTTGCCTTTAAAAACAAGCCGCACTCACAACCAGAAGCTCCTGACCGTTGGTTTACAGAACAAGGAGGAAACTTTCTTGAGGATATTTCACCGGGTAAGCAATTCAGGTAGTTTGAATTTTTATTCCGACAGCAATTGACGAAAGACTATGTAGGTTAGTACTGCATGTATGTGACTGTATCCGTCGCTCCTTCTCTCTCTGCCCCTTTCCTCAATGTAAAATGTTCGTCCGAGAACGGGACATCTACAGTTGGCCCCTTGAGTGGCTTAAAGCTGACCTTTGAAATCATCTTGAAACTTGTGGATTTACAATAAACAATTTAATGCTAGTGTCAGTCGAAACAATGACGTTATTACGCGGAACCAGGCTTGAATTTGAGCATAAACTTTGACATTAAAAATAAAGACAAAACCCTCGAAGACGATGAGAGCCGCAATTTTTTAAAATTGTAATAAACACTTATGGAAGTGAAGGCAAATAATATTCTACTACTTCCAGTGACAGCGATTTATTGTCGTATGCACCGCCCATACCAAAGCTAAAACAGGTTTTAAAGCTGTTTCGTCAATCACGTTTTGAAATTGTTTTTTCCTTTGAAGTTGCTTAAACTGTTGCTGACTTAATGTCGACTTAAAATTAAAGCGACCCGTTGAAAGTTAGTTAGTACTTGAACCCTTTGTAAAATTAAGTTTTTAGTATTCCATTGCTGAGTTTCATCCCGTTACACCTGGTTTACCTAAACATGTCTTGCTGGTGTGAAGAGAGCAAACCAGACATGCTATTTGTACCTGACAATAGGGAATAAATCAACAGAAACTCGTAAATTAAACCTGTGAAAACCTTGTCGTATAATTCCCATTCCAGCAAAGGTATTATTGCTAAAAAAAAATACCCATTTCGCTTTCTTTTCACTCTCCCGCAGATAAGTAGAACTCTTGAATGCTGTTATATCTCTGCTCGGGTATTTTGTGTTTCCATTGGTATTCTTTATCGTCTTGTAACAATGCGATGAAAAAACTAGATCTTTGCCAAGATGTTTTTCGAAAGTTTGGGTTAACTTCAACTTTGATAAGTAGTCTTAGATTAATAGGATAGAAATTATATAAAATTTATAACTTAAATAACCATTTAATTTTGTCATACCAAACTTATTTTTCTGTTGCATTTTTGTTATAATTGATATTGTTCATATTTTTATTCAAGTCATTATTTCACACTTGTCCAACAGCCTCCTTTTCAATCCAAGAAATTCACGCTCTTTCGTTACCTGAGCTAAACGGGAAACCATTTTTGTTTCCTTCGACTGCGCGGAATTGAACAATACTTTGGTAATTATAATCAACTGTACAGAGTAAGCCTAGTCAGCACTATGCACCAGTCTGCGCGCGACGTACTTCAATTGAGTTATGAAATGAAGAAATTGTGTATGATTGACGGATAATATACACCATGCCAACTTCAGTATTTTCAGCGTGTTCAAGAAAAATAACGTGTCAGAGAGTCAAGATAAATGGGTAAAACATTCACGCAACTACCATTAAGCTAATTAGTACGTGTATTCAAGTTGTTTTGAGATAGAGTGGTCTTCCCCCTTCTTTATTCCGTGTCCATCATAACAAACTTTTAATGATGTTCTACTGAATTTTTAACCATCTGCTTATCACAAATAATGGATAGACATCTTTTTAAGCCCTATTGAGTAATTTAAGGGAGATCCTCTCGTTAGAATTTATTAAACAGCACGAAAACACGAAGGAGGGAATTTCATGTTTTTTTTAAGAGAGCTGTTTTAACAACCTTGAAGCCTAAAATACCTAAGGTTTTTCACATAAGCAATTGCACTCTTCTTGAAAAATTGTATGATTTTAAATAATGAATTTCAAAACAAGCACCAAATTATTCTGAATTTCTGCATGCAAATGTATTATTGGACTATCCTAATTTTTTTCTTTTGGCAATCGATGGTGATTGTGGCTGAGCAAATAATTACTAAGGGGCTTATACATAACGAGCGCTTTAAAATGCATACACTTTTAAAAAGATAAAGAGAGAGAATTGGATGAGTGAATGTATGGTGGCGTTTGTCAAAAGGTAAATATTCCAACAGCCTTTTTTCTATAAGGTAAACATTACTTTCCATCTGTCTGGTATCGATTGTCTATTTTCAAGTGTTAAACGGCTCCCCCCCT